ATGCAATTGTAACTTATAGTCACATTTTATAAATGGTTTGCCTTCTTTTCCACTTGGAAGACTTTTAAATGCCTTGGATAAGCTGTTCTATTTGTATGACCAAAGAAGACAATTGCATGCAACCAATTTAATTGAATAAATAAGTACAAGTCATTCTCAGAAATAAAGTTTGTTTTAAATACTAACCAAATAATGCGCAAACTCTGAGAAATGCTTAAATAACCTTTAAAATATAGAAGTATGGAGTGGATGCCCAGAATGAACTAGGCAATACTTTCCTATTTGCCTAGGACAATGACCTAATAAGATGGTTAATCATCAGTGAACTGATTTTAAAAAAGCCAAATATCTATTTAAAGAGAGACTTTAACATCAGATAAAGGATGGGCTTGTTGCAGTTGCTATAGGATTCTAAGTTCAGGTAAGAACCTTCTAGAGCTTCTAATTTCAACAGTTCTATATAAGAAATTTTCATAAATTTGGGAAGAAAATGATTTGATGGTCATGATAAATATTATAAATATTAATATTATGCTCTGTCATTCTAAGAACATTTACGTTCTTAGCCTTTAAAACCTAATCACTATCCATTCTGGAGAGAGATGAGCCTTACATTAATATACTCTTAAAGATAAATTACAATCATAGATTTGTAAATTTAAAAATAAAATTTGAAATTCTGTTCCTATTACTTCCCGGACAATTGGAACTTCAAGGATGAAAAAATGGACCTCTAGTTATCATCTTAAAATATGCTGTGAGACAGTTATTTTCTTTGATTAGGCTAGACTACCAATTTCTTTGATTTTATGTTACTGAATAATAGGGACCAAGGGAAGGAGTTATTTGACAAACATAAATAAATAGAATGTGCTTCAAAGTCTATCTTTACTTCCCTGTTTGAACTCAAGTTTGACTCAAGGTGAGGGAAAAGGAGGAGATTTTTTAATTTTTTTTCCTTTTATTAAGTCATATACACATAGATATGCATACATTTATGCATTTGTGGGGTACAATGTATTGATTTTTTTTATACCATTTGAAATGGTTACATCAAACTATATTAATTAAAAGGAGGAGATTTTAAAAAAACTCTCCACACAGTTATTGGCATGAACTAAGGGCTCAAAAAATATTAGTTTCCTTCTATTATTCAGGAGGGGTCTGTCCTTATAAAATAATTATTTTAATTGTCAAAGTAAGAGGGAATGACCAAAGGTCTAAGAAATTAGTAAAAGCTGTTATTTCTTTTTCCTCCTCAGATCCATACACACATGTAGAGATTGGGTCACTTGACCTGCAGTGATTTACTCCGATCCCTTGAATAGAAAAAGCTTTAGTACAGATAGGCAGAGACGTAAAATTCTGTTCTCCACTTCACCCAAATCAAACCAGGAAAATCCTACCTGTTCTGTTCAGGGGAGAGTTAAGAGGTACAATTCTCAATCTAAATGCTTGTGGCTCTGTCTTACACATATAGTGTGTCCCCAGATTTATTTATATATCAATTATTTGGAACCCAGAAACAAACATTAAATGCCTACAAACAAGCTGAGTTACAATGCCATGATAATGCACAAAGTGTGGTATTATGTCAAGCTTAAGTTGACACTTCAATTATCTCATTAGTTTGTAGTTACTTAGCACAATTTTAAACAAAGTGGTCACATTTTTTAATTGTGTGTGTGTGTGTGTGCTGGGTAATTTATTCCAAAACCAGGGGACATACAGAGAAAAGTACACAGGTACATTCTCCAGAGGTGTAGTTGTGTGGGGGAGGTTATTTCAACGGGGGTAAATGGGAAAATATGGAAAGGTAAGATTTGGAGCAGCCTTAAACAGCAAAGAGATGAGGAAGCACATTCCAGGTGGAAAAGAAGTGTAGGAGGACAGAGAGCTTTCTTCTTGGAAGAGTGGTCTGAAGGTGCTTATGCTTGTATTGGTAAATAAGGTTCCAACAACATGGTGTTTAGGTTGTGAGAACACTCAGTGAGGAAGGATAAATCTTAGTTTGCATGTTATGAGGGATCTTTGAGAGCTTCTGAGAATGTATATGACCTAAATACAATAGAAAGAAAGCCAGATGTCAGGACAACCAGAAGTTCATCAGTTGAAACAAACGAGACTAGGAGTGGTGAGACAATAGCCTTCAAACTTTCAAGAATTATTTGTTTAGTGGAAATGGAAAAAAAGAAGACTAAAGCAAAAGAAGTACTATCCACTTTGCAAATCATTCAAAGATTCACCATTACAGGATTTATTAATTAAAAAGAAAGATCTGCTAACGTTTAAATTCTGGGGAAAGAAACAGAAAGACGAATTTATGGCAAAAGTGGTATGAAATTTTTCTGAGTGCTGCTTAGGACCCCGAGACCACCAAACTATTGATTTTCTCCTCATTCCATTCTACCTAGGAACTGAACGTCTCAGATGCAGGCATATATAACACACACACACACACACACACACACACACAATGTGGAATAATTGGAGTAATTAGATGTACATAGGTATGGTTTTCTGCGTTCATGCATCTGTTTATATTTACTCACGTATACATTAAGTGAAAATATGCCTAGATATGTATTTTTCCACGCTTATACATTATTCATGAAATAGGCACCATATATTCATGTTTTCTATATTTGTAATATAATTAAATCCTTGTCAAAGAAATTCATGAATAAAATATACACTTGATCCCCATTATGCACAGATTCTGTATTAACGAATTTGCCTGCTCACGCAAATGCCTTTGGAACAACAAAATCAACACTGGGGGCTTTCCTGGTCACCTACGCGCACGCCCAGAGTGGCACCGAATTTGGGCTGCCATGTTCCCAAGCTGAGGAGATGCCCCCCCTTTGTGTTTGAGTTTGCACACTGCAAACGAATGTCCCTTTTATGGTCTACATGATACCACGTTGTTTACTTTTCGTGTTCTGTGCAGCTAAGTTTACTGTTCTAAATAGCTCCCAAGGTTAGTGCTACAGTGCTACAGTTCCTATCCCGAGAGCACCGGGCAGAGAAACACGCCTGAGCTGTGGCAGCCCCCCTGCGGGATAAACTACGGTGCTATTGGTCACTAATTCAATGATAGCATCTCAACAGCACATATTAAATAAAGGGTCTTTAAATAGAAACATACAAAACAAGGTTATGTATTGATTAGTTGGGGATAATATTGGGTCCGGAGGCATGAAACATTTAACCCTCTCTCTACCCTAAGAAAAATGATTCAGTATTTGCCAAGTGTTCCCAGCAGTTTTATAGAACATAACTATGGCCAATAGTGAGATTAATGGTATATATGACATATATTACATACCTTATGTAATTAGTGTCCTATTAAAAATCATGTATCTATACTCAGGCGTATCTGCATATGCAGATTTGTTACAGATATGTTGTATACATACTTATGTATCAGGCACATATGTATGAACTAGAACACATTTTTAAACCTCGGTGAAGGACCCACTATTCCATACAGGGATAAGTGAAGGTAAAAAGTTGACTCGTTTGCTATTTTTAAAATAAGGGATTCCTCACTATTAAAGTTATAATTTCTCTCATATTTTGAACCCCAAACTTTGCTGGCAGGAATTTATCCTACAGACATGATCACACATAAATAAAACATTATATAGTAAGAAAATGTTCTAATATGAAATAACCTAAATGTTATCAACATAGAACTACTTAAATATATTATGGATGACAAAATACCCTACCGCCATAAGAAAAATGAGGACGTTCTTAATCAATATGAAGTTAAGTGTATACAACAGGGTAGAGAGAGAACAGAGTTGGTGGCCTGCTGCCATGTGTATCAAAAATGGAAAAATTTGTGTATTTAATGTAAAATGCATATCACATTTCTATGTAAGGGAATCAAGATTGGAGGAAGCATATTTGTCTTTCTTACTTGAATTTTCAAATACATGCATGCATTCTCTCTTGAAAGATAAAGAAAGATAAATGAACACAATTAACCCAATTATAGCCCAAGAACATGGGGGAAGGGGAGGATGGGTGGAGGGAGGGTAATTGGTGGGATCACATCTATGATTCATCTTTTAAGGGTATATGTGAATCTTTCTAAATGAAGAGTATAAATGTCTTAACACAATAACTAAGAAAATGACATGAAGGCTATGTTAACCAGTTTGTTGGAAATATTTCAAATTGTATATAAAAATAGCACACTGTACCCCATGACAGTATCAATGTACACAGCTATGAGCTAATATAAAAAAAAATAAAAATAAAGTAAGGCCAGAATGATAAGATCATGCATGATCAGAGGTACTTGCAGGATCTTTTGCTTTTTTTTTTTTTTTTTAATTGTTGGGGATTCATTGAGGGTACAAGAAACCAGGTTACACTGATTGCATCGGTTAGGGAAAGACCCTCTTACAATTGTGTCTTCCCCCCAAAAGCCTGTGGCACACCCCAAGACCAAAGTCTATATGTTTTTCAGTCATGGTTCCAGAAGCATCTCCTCTCTGAAACTGTGCTAGGCCATTCAAATTACAGTTCATTACATTGTTTTTCTGCCTGTTTTAAGTATCTGCTATGTGCCAAGCACTATTTGGCACATTGTAAAACTATGAGGATTAAACATATACAGAATTTGCTTCTGTAAATCTTATAATCTAGATATGTAAAAAATACCGAAATTTTAATTTCTTTAATTCAAATTCTCTGTTCATACACCTATAGTCTATGATGTGATTCTATATGATCTTGTTTACTTGTTTTAAATTCCTTTCCACAGATTTATTTCCCCATCTAAATTATAACCTCATTAGGCTAGGACTTTGTGTGTGGGTTTCCTCTCCTGTCCTACGTTAACTTAGCCCAGTGGTCAGACCATAGTAGGCTTTGCATGAATATTATTGAGTGATTATTTGATTGATGTTGATCTTGTGGCTTTTTTATTACTAAATTGTATATCATTAAAGTAAAATAAATTATACATTTTCTTCTTTGAATAGGTGATCATTTTGAACCAAGCATCAGCAACAATTAAGAACATCCATCAATGAATCTGTAGTTCAAACATGGACCAAAATCAGCATTCGAATAAGACAACAGAGGCAACATCTTCAGAGGAAAAGAAAACTCGATGCTGTGATGGATTCAAGGTAGAAGGAGGTCCACATTTTCAAACTATATGAATAAATGGGGAGTTTTTATTTGTTGATAGGTAATCAGTTGTAAAAAAGAACAATATATTTCAAATTATAATTTTTTAATTGAACCATATGTTAACATACAAATGACCTTTACCTTTATTTAAATCCACCTTTGAATCCGATTATAGTATTTCCTTGGTGAAGTTTATCTTATTTATTTCAAATTTTAGGTGGGTACAAATGTTTTGTTTTTTTTTTATTGAATGGTAACTATGTACAAAATGTTTTTGTTACATAGTTACCTTTTATAATACTTAAGTTAGGGTTTTCAGTGTGCGTATCACACTATCATTCATGTGCTATCATGTGATCATTCAATAGTGTTCATTGAACCTGACAGGTATTTTATCCCTCCCCTCCTTCCTTTCTTCTTGATTTCCTGACTTTTATATTTCTTTGTCCCCATCAATTAGCTCCCAATTATTACAGTGTACACGTGGTATTTTGTTTTCCCTTCCAGAGATACTTTACTTAGAATAATAGATTCCAGTACCCATTTAAGTTGGTGCAGAAGACATCGTTTCATTCCTTTTTATGGTCAAGTAGTAGTTCTTCAGTGAAATTTCTGGTGCTTAAGAGTTTGTTAATATAGAAAATTTAGACATATTTTGATATATTCTCTTTCATTCTTGAGATACCAAGAGATAACTTGTAAGCATGGTTAAAATAAAAGAAGATACTGTGTAATGAATGACATGTAAAAAGTATTCTTAGAATTAAGGAATAAATCTAGAAGATTAATGACTTGTGAACCAATTTATGGTCTTGACTTATTTAATTATTCTTTTTTTTTATCCTGATAACTCAAGTAATGCAGTCTGATGGAAAAGAGATCTGTAGTAATCAAAAGACCTGGCTCCAAAAGCAGGTCTTCCACAAGCTGACAAAAGGAATAGTTCTGCCTCTTGGTTTTGTCACAAAAATCAAGGGCATTGAATGATCCCAGCATTTTCATAAACAGGAAAAGTACTCCTAAGCACAGTGCTAGATGAGGAAGCTAAGACAAAACCCCTATAGGGAAGTCTTGAGGAAATTTAAAAAAAAAAATCGCAGTCACCGCCTACCAGTATTTTAAGATTTTTACTTGATCAAAAGTCTAGTTTTATCTACCGGAATAGACCACGGAGGTCAGATTAATTTGCAATGATGTTATATAAAGTTCCTTTTAACTTTGTCCAGGGAACATGAAGTATGTTTGTTTTCAGAGATTACTGGTAAGATCTGTTCTGATGAAATATTTGAATAATATTTAAGCAGAATGGCAGTCACAAGGAAAAATTATGGGCTAATGCAATTGTCTAGGGGTAATATAACGTGCTGGATTATTTCTGCTTTTAATTATATAGTGTCACAGTGATTTCACTTTGACTATTTGGACTTTTGTGCTGGTTCCATATGAAACAAAATATTATTTTTTCAAGTTCTTTAAAGTATGATGTTTTTATGGGGCCTGAATTACACATGTAGATCACTTTAGGTGGTATGGACATTTTTACACTGTTGATTCCTCCTAGCCCTGAGCATGGAATGCTCTTCCATTTGTTGATATCTTCTGCTATTTCTTTTCTCAGGGTTACACAGTTCTCTCTGTAGAGGTCCTTCACATCTTTTGCTAGGTACATTCCCAGATACTCCATTTTCTTTTACTGTGAAGAGTATTATTCCTTTGATTTGATGCTTAGACTATTATTGTTGTATATGAAAGCTACTGATCTGTGGATATTAATTTTATATCTCAAGATGTTACTGTATTTGTTGATCCCTTCCAAAAGAATATTTTAAAGTTAACTTGTTATTATAGGTGAGAGAAGTATCTTCTAGTTTGTAACTAGTTTTTCATTTCCTGAATTGAGTTTTTGGACAAAATTCTTAATTTTAACATGTTTGAGTTTATCAAGTAATTTTAGAATTAAGTATTTAATTTCTATTTTGAGCAAGATTTATATCAGTACACTTTGCTCTTGAAATTAAAATCTTTGATGTATATAATTTTTGCATCAGATATGTAGTAAAAACTTAATTTCAACTTTTCCCCATATAAAAAACCATTTCTTCCAGTTCTGCACCTCCTTTCCTCACTTATCTGTCCTGACTCTTCTGTCCTCTATCAAAGTTTTGTATATGTATGAATCTGTTCTCAGGTCTATTTCCTATTATTTTGGTAATTTGTCTAGTCCTACACTCGGGATGGATATTGTCTGGAACTTTATATGAATTGTCATCTATTACTGTGGGCAATCTCTTTCTACTCTTCTTCAGATATGTTCTCAGCACTCTTGGCCTTCCAAATTTTATGAATAGCTGGAGAAAAAACCTTGCTGAGAATTTGATTGAACTCAATGAATTTGTAAATTGGTTTGGGG